AGAAGCAAGTGGCGTCACTCCACTTGCTTCTTGGATTCTCTCCAGGCCCGCTCTGGGCCCTCGCGGAGCGCCCCCAGGCGCCGCCTAAGACCCGCCTGAGGCCCCAGGGTAGGCCCAGGCAGGCCCCAAGAGGCCCGAGAAGGGCTTTCAGAGCGGCTTCGAGTGGATTCCAAGTCAAGCCAAGTCACCCCGCTCGCACGAGGGCGGGCCCATATAGGGCGCGAGGGGAAAACAGCCCCCCGACTTCGGATCCGCCGTACTTTCGTGGGTTTCCCAAGTAGGGTGGAAACTTCCGCCCTGCTTGTTGAGCTCCTTTGATGCCGATTTCCGCCCTACTTTGCCGTCGCTGTTTTCGCCACACCTCTGCGGAAGTATCCGCGCTATCTCTTGCTGAGGTGGACGTTTCCGCCATATGTTTTCGCAGCGTTTGGGGTGCACGTGCGACACAAGTCCGAGTCGGAAAGTCAACCAAAGTACGGCGGATCCGAAGTCAGGGCATGCCAGTCACTGTTCGGGCGGGCGCGCACGGGAAGCACAGAGCCTGGAGCTGCTCACACGCAGAAGTCCAGAGAGCCCGAAAGCCCAAAAAGATCCCAAGAGATCCCAGAGATTCAGGTCCTTCAGGTGGATTCCAGGAGAGCCCCAAAGCAGGTGGAGGTGACGCCCCTTGCTTGCGGGTTCTCTCCAGGCCCACTCAGGGGCATTCGGGGCGCTCTCCGAGCGCTCCCGCAGGCCGCCTCGGCCCCGCCTGAAGCCGCAGGGCAGGCAGGAGCTGGCCCCCCTGTGAGACCACACGGAGGCTTCAGAGACGGCTCGACGTGCCTTCCGAGAGAGCGCCCACGGAGGCTTCAGAGACGTCCTCCGTGCAGGAGGAGGAGGAGGAGGGAGGAGGAGGAGGAGGAGGAGGAAGAGGAGGAGGAGGAGGAGGAGGAGGAGGTGGCAGGAGAGGAGGAGAGGAGAGAGGAGGAGGAGGAGGAGGAGGAGTGACGCCTCTTCCTTTGGGGCCCTCTCGGGGGTGGAATTCTGGGGCCCCGTCGGCGCCTCCCGGGAGCTCGCCCGACCCCTGCCCGGAGCCAGAGGCCCTCGAGGGGAGACCCCCAGGGAGCTCCAGGAGCCCTCCAAGATGGCCCACAAACCAGTGGCGTCGCTCCACGTGCTTGTGGATTCTCTCCTGGCCCGCTTGGGGCCCTCTCGGAGCGCTCCCAGGCGCCGCCTGAGACCCGCCTGAAGCCCCAGGGTAGGCCCAAGCAGGCCCCAAGAGGGCCGGCTTCAAGTGGACTCCCAGAGAGCCCAAAAGCAAGTGGAGTGACGCCACTTGCCTGTGGATTCTCTCCGGGCCCACTTGGGGCGCTCTCCGATCGCCCGGGGAGGCGCCTGAAGCCGCAGGGCAGGCAGGAGCGGGTGACCACAAGGAGACCTCGCATGCAGATGCGTACGTTTCCGTGGAGTGAGCTCACGGGTCAGCAATCGTCTGTATTACATGGTCGGGAGCGGCGCGTGCCAGAAGGGTGGGGGCTCAGGTGGCACAAATCAGCCCTGGCGGCCCCCAGCGAGCTCCGAGACGGTCCCGGGTGGCACGAGACGCGCCCAGACGGCCCAAGAGGGCCCAACGTGGCTTTCGGACGGCCCACCAGGGCTCCAAGACGGCCCACGAGGGCTCCCAGAAGCTTCCCAAGAGGGCTCCGAGAGGCCAAAATCATGGATTTCCTAAAAAGATTTTTGCTAATTTGGACGTTCTCACTTTTTTACGCTTCCCACTCTCCAGATCACCCCAACATGGCCCAACAGGCCCCCAAGAAAGACCCCAGACAGCCCGAGAGGGCCCTAAGACCGCCCAAGCGGCTCCCAAGCCTGTCCAAGAGGGCCCAAGATGGCTCCCAAAAAGGAAACTCGACCTGGCATTCCCTAAGATAACCCCCGAGATCGCCAGCAGGCCCCCAAGAGGTCTCCCAGAAGCCCCAGGAGAGGCCCAACTCGGGCCCCACGAGGCCCCCGAGAAGTCCCAGGAGGATCCCCTAAGACCGCCTCCCGGAGGCTTCCGAGGGAAGATCCTTTAGGGAGCTCTGGAAGAAGGAGGAGGAGGAGGAGGAGGAGGAGGAGGAGGAGGAGAAGGCGGCGGAGGAGCAGGAGGAGGAGGAGAAGGCGGCGGAGGAGGAGCGTAGGAGTAGGATGAGGAGGGAGGATGAGGAGGAGGAGGAGGAGGAGGAGGAAGAGTAGGAGGAGTCGGAGGAGGAGGGAGGAGGAGAGAGGAGGAGTAGGAGGAGTATGGGAGGAGGAGGGAGGAGGAGGAGGAGGAGGTAGGAGGAGGAGGATGGAGAGGAGGAGGCGGAGGAGTGAGTGAAGGATAGGGAGGAGAAGGAAGAGGATGAGGAGAGGAGGAGGAGGAGTATGAGGCGGAATAGGAGGTAGGATGATGTAGATGTAGGGAGTGGCGGATGAGTGGGAGGCGGAGGAGGAGTAGTAGTGCAGGCGTAGAAAGGGATTCTGCGGAGGCGGCGTCGGTCAGGAGGCGTGTGCTGACTCGCCTAGTAGGAGTGAGGAGGAGGCGGATGAGGAGGCACTAGGGGAGGAGGAGGATTATGAGTAGTAGAATTAGGAGGATCAGGAAGAGAGTAGGAGCGGAGGCGCGTTCTTCTGCTGATAGGAGGTATGTCGTCGGAGCTGACGGATATGAGGATTCAGCACTCGGCGTGTGGCTGGGGCGGCGCCGGCACCGCGGCCTCTGTTGGCAGAGCCGGCCAACACATCGCGGCGCCACGACGGGCGCGAAGGCCTGGGGCTCCCAGGCAGGGCGGCCTGCAGCAGCGACTGCGGCGCCGAGGAGGCGGCGGAGCCACGGCGCGCGGCGTGAGCTCCCCGGAAGGATCGGAGGGAAAGCAGGGGGGCCCAGCGCAGATCCAGGAAGTCCTCGGCCTTTCCTTGTGGCCCCCCGCGTGGGAGCGGCGCCGGTCTCACCGGGCGACCCGTCGGGGAGTGATTCTTCAACACCTTCAGCTGCTTCCTCGCGCTTCGCGCGAGGGCGGCGAGGCGTCGTGCAGCCTGCTCGCCTTCAACACCTACTTGGCGACCCGTCGGGGAGGGGTCTCTCCTTGAGACGGAGAGCGTCCAGGGCCCGCCGGCCACCGGAGGCCCGCTCCGCAGAGCCTCCCGCCTGCTGCCGAGCCCGTCGCCGCCCGCGCGCGTCCTCCTCGCCTCCTCGGGCGGCCGCGGCCACGAAGAGGAGCATCGCTGAAGAGAAGGCTCGCGTGCGCGGAGGAGGAGGAGGAGGAGGAGGAGGAGGAGGAGGAGGAGGAGGAGGAGGAGGATGAATAGGAGGAGGCGGCGAGGAGGTAGGAGGAGGAGGAGGAGGAGGAGGAATAGGAATAGGAAGAGGAGGAGGAGGAGGAGGAGGAGGAGGAGGAGGAGGCTGTCCAGTCGTGGCCCTAGAGACCGCCCGAAGGCGGCTCAGGCTCGTCCCAGGGCGGCCCGAGGCGAGGGCGGCCCCGAAAACTGCCCGAAGGCGGCTCAAGGTCGTCTCGGGGCCGCGCCCACGAGGGAACATCGTTAAAGATGTGATCGTTTTGTATTCCTTGTCTTGCCGATCGGCGCGGGCTCGCACCCCCCCCCCCTTCCCATGGAGCAGATCTTGGCTGTTTTGGGGGGCGCCTGTTTCGAGCAGGTGGGGCCTCCCCCAGAGAACGCACGGTTCCAAACAGCCGCGCCAGGCACAGGTCCAGAGCCAGAAAGCCCCCGCTCACCCCCCTTCCGCCCGATGTCGAAACGCCGAATACGAAAACGTTCACGATAAGGCGCGCGTGCGCTTCTTAATGTCCAGCCTGGGCCCTGACACTGCCCCAAGAAGGCCCAAGCGGTAAGCTAGCAGAACGCGAGCAGCAAGCCAATGCAAGCAACACTAGCAGCAAGCAGTCTAAATTGACAAGCGGCCAGACACCAACTTCTCGAGCCTCCAACCCAAGCGCCCCTTCAAAGTCGACGAAATCCCTGAGGAATCGGCCCCCGAACCCTGAGCCCGAAAACAGCCCTCAGAGGTTTACAAGGACGACAAGCCTCCTCAAACCTCGACGTTCCTAGTCCATCTCGCCCCGGCCGTCGCTCCGTTCTTCCCTGCTCCTCGCTCTTCGCTGATCGCCGATCGCCCCCACACATTTCCTCAATGTTCTCCGTCCTGGCCTCTCGCTGCTCGATCTACTCCCAGCAGCAAGTTGCGTGAGGACCCTGAAGGAAGGAACACACACAGACACAAATATTCGTCGGTTCCCTGGCACATGTGTGAGAATATGGGAAGTGGGAGGAAAGACGAACATCAAGAAAGTATGATAACATACGGGGAATCCGGGGATGAGTGTGTATTTATTTGTCTGCCCCTGGGCCCCTTCAAGTAGGGAGAAACATCACCCATTACCCTGCAGCATCAGGGAGCAGCACCCGCGAGCGGCAGCAGCGCGAGGCGGGCAGCAGGCAGTTGGAACGCGCAGCACCTGCGAGCAGCGAAGCTGCAGCAGCAGCAGCAGCAGCAGCAGCAACAGGCATCGGGCAGCAATACAGTCGGACCGAGGTATAAGATCGAGGTCGGTTCGGGGAGGGTACCCTAGTGTTCTTCATGCTTGTTGGATGTTATTGTGCATCCTGCGGAAGGTACCCCTGGATGTTCTGTTTGTCTTGGCCGACGGAGGGTCTCACGTTTTTGCAGGGTGCTCTTCTGGCCAAGGTCCGACTGTACGCACAAAGCAGAACCGGCCATCAGCAGCGCCCTGCAGCTACAAGCAGCAGCAGCACACAGCAGCGGTAAGCATTACCAGCAGTTCGCAGCAGCGGCGGCAAGCCGCAACACGCAACAGCATGCGTGGAATGCGAAGTTCGAGCCCCACGTCATCATGTTAGTCTTTCGGAAGCGTGTCCACCGCCACATGCTGATTCGTGGAGATTTCGTGGACGTAGTCCACGGGTCAGCCCTGGTCAGCTACAGCGCTGGGATGAGCGCGTGCGAAAAGGGCGGGCAGTGGCAACGGGCTTTGTCGCTGTTGAGCGAGATGTGGAAAACGAGGCTGGACCCAAACGTTGTCAGCTTCAACGCAGGGATCAGCGCGTGCGAGAAGGGTCAGCAATGGCAATGGGCTTTGGCGCTTCTGGGCGAGATTCGGGAGGCAAAGCTGGAGGCGAACGCCATCAGCTACACCGCTGGGATCTGCGCGTGTGAGAGATGTTGCCAGTGGCAGCAGGCATTATCACTGCTCGGCGAGATGGAAAAACTCATTTTGGAATCAGACAAGAACGTGTACAACTTGGTCATCACAGCGTGTGAGCAGTCATCTGGCGACTTGGCAGGATTCCCGGTCTCCCTTCGGGTCGGCCTTTGACGCTTTCGAGTATCTTGCGATGCACTTTGCGTGTGATCACGCTAGGCAGCCACAGGATAGTTTGAACAAGCATCATCTTATCAGGGCGGGCAGTGGCAGCGGGCGCTGGCGCTGCTGAGCGAGATGCGCCAGGCGAAGCTGGAGCCCAATGTCATCAACTTCATCTATCCTGCAATGCAGCGTTCATCGCTCCCCGGATTGGCGAGCAGTGGCAGCGAACCGGCCCCCTCCAGGCCGCTCCCAGCGGGCCCTCGGGCGCTTCGGGCCGCCCTGGGCGGCCCTCGGGGCCGCCGCCGAGCCTTCCGAGCGGCCCCGAGCGCGCAGCGGACGGTCCAAGCCTGCCCCAGATCGACGCGGCACGCCCCGCGGACGGCTCCAGGACGGCCCCAGACGCTCCCAAGCCGCCCCCTGAGGCCCCCCAAAGGGCCCAAGAGAGCCCAAGACAGCCCCACGAGGGCCCCAAGACAGCCCGAGCCTTCCAAAACGGCCCAAGACGGCCCCAGGACGGCTCCAGATTGAGACGGCCCGAAAGAGCCCCAAACGGACCCCTCAAGAGGTTGCCCAGAGAGCCCCAAGTGGGCCACGGGAGGCGCTGCCAAGACGGCCGAGCCACCCTGCCGATTACGGAGAGTTCGACGCTCGAGACATATTCATGTACCTCGTCACCTCCACGCCTGACCTCACGCGCGCCCCGTTCCAAAAGCTCTTGACGGTGGAGCAGCGGGACATGCTGTTGGCAGCAGACGCAGACGCATTCCCGCGCCGTCGCCTTCGCCGCCCGCCGCCGCCGTCGCCGAGGGGTCCCCCTCGAGGTCACGCGGCTTCCCCGATGGACCCTTGGAGCGTCCCTCAGAGTCTCCCGAGGCCTCCAGCAAGCTCCCACGAGAGTCGGCACGAGCCCCGAGAACCACCCAAGAGGTCCCCTAAAGCTTCCCCCGGGGCCCGCAGTGCCGTCGCCGTCCGCCGCCCGCCTCCGCCGTCGCCGAGGGGCCCCCCTCGAGGTCACGCGGCTTTCCCGATGACCCCTAGAGCGCCTCCCAGAGCCTCCCGAGGCCTCCAGCAAGCTCCCGCGAGAACCGACGCGAGCCCCGAGAACCACCCGGGAGGCCCCCGCAAGCTTTCCCAGGGGCCCGCGCGCGATGAGAATTACAACAGGCGATTGAAGGCCAGACGACCGCCCAGAAAGAAATTCGAAGAGGCCGCGAAAACCGTTGAAGGGTCTAAATCCGAGGTCGTAGTCGCGGTCGCCGTCGTCGTCGTCGTCGTCGTCGTCGTCGTCGTCGTCGTCGTCGTCGTCGCCCGAGAACCACCCGAGAGGCCCCGATAGCCCTTGGAGTGTCCCCCGGAGTCTCCCGAGGCATCCAGCAAGCTCCCACGAGAACCGACACGAGCCCCGAGAGCCACCCGAGAGGTCCCCACAAGCTTTCCTAGGGGCCCGCACACAGTGAGAATCGCAACAGGCGCTTGACGGCCAGACGTCCGGCCGCAAGGAAATTCGAAGACGCCGCGACGACCGCGGAAGGGTCTTCATCCGAGGTCGTCGTCGTCGTCGTCCGAGAACCAACCACCCAAGAGGTCACCACAAGTTCCCCAAAGGGCCCCTCGCGCAATCAGAATCGCAACGGGCGTTTGAAGGCCAGACGTCCGGCCGGAAGGAAATTCGAAGAGGCCACGACAACCGCTGAAGGGTCTTCATCCGAGGTCGTCGTCGTCGTCGTCGTCGCCCGAGAACCACCCGAGAGGCCCCAGTAGCCCTTGGAGTGTCCCCCGGAGTCTCCCGAGGCATCCAGCAAGCTCCCACGAGAACCGACACGAGCCCCGAGAACCACCCGAGAGGTCCCCACAAACTTTCCTAAGGGTCCGCACACAATGATAATCGCAACAGGCGCTTGACGGCCAGACGTCCGGCCGCATGGAAATTCGAAGACGCCGCGACGACCGCGGAAGGGTCTTCATCCGAGGTCTTCGTCGTCGTCCGAGAACCAACCACCCAAGAGGTCACCACTAGTCAGCTACAGCCCTGAGATCAGCGCGTGCGAGAAGGGCAGGCAGTGGCAGCGGGCGCTGGCACTGCTGAGCGAGATGTGGGAGGCGAAGCTTGAGCCCAACGTCATCTGTACCTGGTCGCGGTGCGTGCGAGTCGGGCGTTCCGGAAAAGCCGCTCCACAGCGCCCCCGAGCGCCCAGGAGCTTTCCCCGAGGAGGAGGAGGAGGAGGAGGAGGAGGAGGAGGAGGCGGAGGCGGAGGCGGAGGAGGAGGAGGAGGAGGAGGAATAATAATAATAGTAAGAATGCTACTAATAATAATACTAACAATATTAATAATACTAATAATAATACGAATAATAATAATGATAATAATAATAATAACAATAATAATGATAATGATAATAATACTAATAACAACAATACTAATAATAATAATACTAATAGTAATAATAGTACTAATAGTAATAATAACAGTGCTACTAATAATAATCATACTAAAAAGAATATTCCGAATATTAAGAATCTAATAGTGATAGTACTAATAAAACGAACAATACTGATAATCATATCAATAATCATAACGATAAGAACAATAATAACATTAATAATACTACACATAAGCATACTAATTCTATACAGATAATCAGAATAATAATAATCATACTACTGTTAAGAGTACTAGTACGAATGATAGGAATATTAAGAAGGGAATATGACGAACACTAAGAATAAGAGTAAGAAGAAGAAGAAGAAGAAGAAGAAGAAGAAGAAGAAGAGGAGCAGGAGGAGGAGGAGGAGGAGGAGGAGGAAGAGGAGGAGGAGGAGGAGGAGGAGGGAGGAGGAGGAGGAGGAGGAGGAGCAGTAGGATAAAGAGGAGGAGGAGGAGGAGGAGGAGGAGGAGGAGGAGGAGAAGGAGGTCATTGCATGCCACTGAGGACGAGTGGGAGGAGGAGGAGGAGGAGGAGGAGGAGGAGGAGGAGGAGGAGGAGGACGAGGAGAGGGGCGCCAGTTGGCTCCGAGACAGCCTCAGACAGCCCCAAGGCAGCTCTGAGACGCTCCAGAGGGGGCCAGGACGGCCCAAGAGGGCCCGAAGACTCGCGAGGATTATCCGCAAACGGCCCACGAGTCCCGGGATGGCGGCCCCACGAGGCGAAGCAAACATGCAAACAACGCATCGTTTGAAAGGTGGTTCACGTTCTTCCCATGGCGGGCCCAGAACGGCTCCACACGGCTCCAGGCTCTTCCAAGATCGCACCCAGATGGGCCAACAGTCCCTCGCGAGCCTGCCAAGACGGCGCCCCAGCGGGCCCCAAGACGGCCCAGAATAGGCCTCGGAGAGCCTGGCGGAGCCACGAGTGGCCTCCCAAGACGCCCCGAGAGATGCCCAAGAGGTTGCAGACCAGGCTCCCAGACGACCCTGGATTCTTGGAGGGCCCAAGGGCTGTCCAAGAAGGATCGCTCCGAGATGCTCTACATTTCTCAAAGGACTCCGACAGTCGCCAAGAAGGAGCTCCCAAGAGAGCCTCCCGCCCCAGCATATTTCGCCGCTTCTGGATCCTTGGAAGTCCCGGAGAAAGTCCAAGACGCCACAAAGAAGACCCCAGACCACTCCTAGATGCCTCGCAGCCCCCCCAAAGACACTCTGTCAGTTGCCGAAGAGCTTCCAGGAGAGCCTCAAGCCCCAGCAGCGTCTGCCGCTTCTGGATCACCCGAAGCCCCAAAGAAAACTCCGAACTCCAAACACGCCCCATAAAGCCCCTCTTCCTGTTCTCCTCTCTTTTCTTCTTCCTCCTCGTCCTCGTCCTCCTCCGCCTCCTCCTCCTCCTCCTCCTCCTCCACCTCCTCTTGGTGCCTCCACACCCCTTTCTACGGTGTCGCGCTCCTCCTTCTGCTCGCCTTCCTTCCCCTCGCCATCTCCCCGTCTCCTCCCTGCACACACCAGCAAGCCTCGGCCCTCCCCTGCGGCCGACTAGTGGTGACATGGGAGGCCTCCACGACACCTCAGCGAAACACTCAGACTTCAAACGAGGCCCCAGAAAGCTCCGTATCGCATCGGTCACGCCACAGACGATGCGGCACCAAATCAGACATGCGG